CCGTGTGCGCGGGTATGTCCAAGTATAGCCTGTTGGGAGTGTGCCAGCCTCAGCGAGGAGGCCTCAGCTATTTTTGCGAGCTGTCGCTACCACCAGCGCTACAACACGCGACGGACACTCCGATCGCGACTGCCGATCCGGAGATGGTCCCGCGGTCTCTCCCTCCTGATAGATTATCTATATACGAGCGAATCATGGGTCCCCTTTGATCTTCTCGTGTTCCTCTCCTCTTTCTCCACCTTCTCTTCAAACCGATATCTGTCCCACGATCTTCTCTCGCTCGAGATCTTTCTCGTGTTGTGACCTTGAGCGGCTCCGCGTTGCCAGATCGATTATGTCAATGCCGAGCCCCCACAGATTACGTGATCCAAGAGGGAATCAGGAGGAACCGGATGAGAAAAGCGGAGAGGATGGAGGAAGGGGAATTGCCAATTTTGGCAAGTTGGACTCACGTGCCGGTTTCACGGTCAGCCGAGAAACGAGGACTCCGAGACTCGATTAATATATGCGGATGACTCTTGCATGGTTTTGCGCGTTACCGGATGCACACTGATACGCGGATATTTTTATACCGACTCTTGAATTCGTATTGAATTGCAAAAAAGCAATGTACGATGTCGTAAAGTATAATAGACGATGCAGCAACGATACAGCAACTCAATCTCTTGAGTTAAAAAAAATAACGTTTTGTTTTAACTTCCATCATGTGTGAAAATGTCATTCAATCCACACGTATGATTAGTTTTAAAGCATACAATGTATATATTAACGTATGCATTTAATAAAAAATAAATTAAATTGAGTCCTAAATGAGATAAACTAAATAAACTAAACTTGAGTCCGCGGTTTAATAAATTTTCTTGAGTTAAACTCCATTGTTTAGTTATAAATTAACAACATATTGAGTTGGTGCAGTTGCGACTATAGAAATGATTACAAATAACTCAAATAATTTAATTAACATTATGAAATATAAATCTAATTTAATAAAGCTCTCAATCATTATTAAAAAATAATATTAAAACAAAGTCGGGCAAATGAGAGCTGTTACGAAACGTATTTGATGTATTTATTAATAATAAACAATAATTGAGATACAGTAATATACACAAACAAGAACGTGTAACTCTCATTTGCCCGGCTTCGTTTTAATATTATTTTTGACATTATGAATTTAATAGAGTATATCAAGAATATACATATATATTGATAATATAGCGCTGGAATCTGATAGTTGAAGACGTTCAAGTTGATTCAGAGACGCATCGTTGCGCTGCGAGAACCAGTTATCAATCGATAACAGCGTTTCATTCAAGGAAAAAAAGAAACGAAACTTGCACTTACAGGAAGCTCAAGAACTCGAGTTCAATATTAACTGTATGGAAAGAATGATTTTGTTGAAATTTAAAAATATAATTAAATATAGATTTGAAAATAATTTTGTTGCATTATCAAAATAATTATATAGGATGCTTAAACACGATAATAATGCTGTGCAAAAAGGTTTAATAACCTAACAAACAATTTGAGCATTCTATATATAATTATTTGGATAATTCAACAAATTATTTTCAAAACTAAATTTTTAGATACTTCAGTAAAGTTAATTTTTTCCGTGTATTTTTATATTATCATAATTATAAACATAATTACATTTAATATATTCAGAAAAAACATGACATCTAAAAAATATCCTAAAAAGTTTTTAATGTCTTAGGATTATCAAAATATATCAGTGTGATAATTTAAAAATATTTTATGTTTATCTTATGTCTTATTAAATTATGTTCTAAAATAATTTTTAAGATTTTTTATATCAAAGAAGCGATGACAAAACCCAAGCTCTTGATTTAAACAATATTTTGTTATTTTTAATTTTCATGCGTATAAAAGTTTAAATCAGTCCATTTCTGTGATTAAATTCAAACTAAACATCATTCACGTTAACATATAACTAATAAATAATAAAATAAATTTGAATCAAATTTTGTTAAATTAAATTGTTTACCTCCATTAATTAAATTAATGACATACATATATCGAGGAGCAGTGGATCTATAGAAATGATTAGAAATAACTCCAATTATAATTCAACATTTTAACACTGTTTAAACGTTAAACATACAATACTATTTCTGAAACGCATCTGTATTCGTGCAATACAACTATTACGACTCGCTGTCACGTCACTTCAAATCTCCCGCTTTCGCTTCAACGTACACTCGATATACTCCATTCGTCGTAACATCCTCCAGCGTCGCGTGCAATAGTGCAGTTGTCCAAGTTGTCGCCAGTTGACGCACAGTTAAAATCGCATCCGTCTCCGTAACTGCATCCAGAGAACAGAGACTGTAACCCCTTGTTTACATCCGGCTAAACGAGAATAAAAATCGTCACGTGTCCCGTTCGAGAATTCTGGAATCTGGACAAGTTTTATCAGACGCAAGATCGGCCGTCGCGCAATCGCGTTGTCGGCATTAAAGGGCGCTGCCGCTGGTGGGCTGGTCAGTGTCATCAGCGAGAGTAGTGAGACGTTCGCGTCTGCGAATATTGTCAAATTTCGGAGTGCGGATTCCGTGTACGTGAGATCTCTCGAGGCTCCGGAGCGGTTTCTGAATTCCTGCATCCACGCGACGGGCGGCGGCACGCGGAACGCCCATCCGCGGTGACACCGCGACGCGTCATCGAGTAAGTCCCGAAACGGGGCCCTTGTCGGCCGGGTCGCTTCGGTCGAGATTGACATCACCGCCGTTGATTTTGGCACGCGACTTGTCAATGAAAATCGATCCGGAATTATCTGGGTCAGAGGGCATCAGCCGCGTCGGACGCTCGCCGAATTTAAACGCCGGGCACGTCGATGCGATCGGATCAGTCGATCGCGATCGAACGGCCGGCTCTGCTCCGGCTGATAACGCCTCCGTGATAAGAGAAGTCGGTCGCGGCCGTGCCGACGACCCTCGCGGAGCGGGCGCGGCCCGTGTCGACGGCCTTTTGTGCCCTCGCCGACAACGCGCCCTTTGAATAATTGATTCTGGTCGACCGATGGGCGCCGTGATAATTAGCACGAGACGTCGATAATGGCCTTCTCTCTCTCTCTGCTCGCGTTACCGAGATCGCTATCCGCAGAAACGTTTTATTATCACGCGATTGTGTTGTCTTGACCGTTTATCATTGAACGATTCTTGCATGAGATTTGAGAAGGAGAAATTAGTTGAGATAATACTTAATTTCTGCGCGGAATAGTTTACCGAGAATAGGCTAGAACTTTGCAAAATGTCGAGGAGACACTCGGTTGTTGACGAGTCACCATGGGATGATTTACAGACTTCTTCGTCGACCAAGACAACCACCATGACGACAGCGGCGAAGCTGTACGGTAAGGATCTGAGCGAGTATGATGACATTGATGTGGATCAACTGCTGGCGGAGCTTACGCCGGAGGAGCTCAATATATTGGCCAAGGAAGTGGATCCTGATGTAAGTCTGTTTACTTAAAAATATTATTTTATTATTTCTTTGGGATATTGAATTTATGTTACATTTATACAGGACAGTTTTATGCCGCCCTCGCAACGTTGCAGTTATGAATGTAATAAGAGTCCTACGGGGCCATTAAATCGCAAGAAGCTTATTGAGCATATCAACAAACAAGCTTTAGAGACACCTGATATTCCAGAACTGAAGCCATATGTACCTGGTGTAATTAGGGGCAAGAAAGTAAGTATCGGTAATGTCCCACAAATCGTTGCGTTGGCAGAAAAATGACACATCTCAAAATTAGGCACTTTTCAGTAGAGTCTTTTTGAAATTCTAAATAGAAACATTTTAATTAGAATAATTATAATATACAGTTTCTATAACTTTTGATTTTCTTTCCATGTTATATTTTTAATTAGAATGTATTCTTTGAAATTATATCATGAGTTTTTCAAATTTGAACATTGCAACTTTAGTGTCATGTCAATTTCACTCTTTATTAGAGTTGTGTACTTTCCCATATAAATGAGCTACAAATGTATTTTTTCTACAAGAATATATTAATCTTTATAGAATTGATTTATTTTTATTTTATCTAAAAAATGCTAACTTTTTACTTATGTTATTTTTCTATCAACACAACGAAGTATGTAGATGATAGTTAAGTAATCCTAATCTTGTAGAAAGCCTAAATTTGAGGTTATAGTTGGAAAAGAAACATGAAAAAGCTGAAGTCAACATTTCTTGGTGGAAAAAAAAGAATTTACGAAAAGGTATAGAAAAACTACATAGATTGAGACAAGATCTTAAAAATATCTTAACTTTTTGTAGATATTCGTAGTGGGACGTAGAATGGCGTTATTTGAGGGTGGAGGTTTTCTAGGTTTTTCATACAAACAACGCTGTTCCATGTCCTACTACGAATATCTATGACAAACTAATAATTTTTAAGATCTTTTCTCAATCTATGTAGATTGAGAAAAGTTTTTCCACTAGGGTCTAATTGAATAATACTAGTAAAATAAATTTTGTATAATATATTGGTAACCGAATTATATATACATCATATTATATTATTTGTTTTAGTGGGTACCTCCGCCACAAGACAACACAAAAGAAAAGGAGGCAGACGAGCAGATCGCGATAGATCTTGGTGAAGAGTATGAACAAGCGCTTTCGGCCGCTACCCAAGAAGAAATCATTGATCTTGCTGGTAAGAAGATTGATCTTTTCTGAAAGCCCCTTGTGTGTATCAGAATAGAACGATAAATAATCGAAACTATCTTTTCCGTCCAGCTATTCTTGGATTCCATTCTATGATGAATCAAGATCAGTATCACGCGTCTCTACTGAATTCTGGACAACCAATCGGGCTCGGTTGGGACGGTGTGACAAAGGCTAGTCAACCGAAAATTTATCCGATGGAACCACCTAATGACACAGACGTTGACGCTACCATTAAACAAGTGCGAGACGATGATTCCTCTCTAACTGATTTAAATTGGAACAATATTAAAGTAAGTATCGTCAATTATACCATTGTAAGAAGAGAATTACGTTTTATGCTAAACTAACGCTGGTCTTGTTACAGAATATTTCGGACGAAAAATTCATGCAATTGTTCGAAGGCTTGGAAATGAACACACATCTCGAATCGCTAAGTTTAACCAACGTTGGACTCAATGACAAGACCGCGCAACGGCTAGCCGATGCCATAGAGAAGAATTCGACACTCAGAGTACTCAAGTATGCACAAAACGATATATTTTTATGCACAAAATTTGTATGTTGATAATTTCTCATTGTTTTAATGTAAAAAAATATTTGTCTTCTTCAGCGTGGAGACAAATTTCATAAGCCCGCCTGTGATAGTAAGGCTGATCAGATCCCTTCTTAAAACAAAATCAATCGAAGAATTCCGATGTTCGAATCAGGTAGGTTGTCATATAAACTTACGTGCACAAATATTTTCTGCAAGAATAGCGACAATAAGATCTAACAAAATATTCGCATCATTATTCAGAGGTCACAAGTATTGGGTAACAAAATTGAGATGGAAATCACACAATTGGTAGAACAAAATCCGACGTTGTTGCGACTCGGGTTGCATCTGGAGTTCAATGACGCTAGACATCGCGTAGCTGCGCATCTGCAACGCAACATCGATAGGAGTAAGTACAAAAGGGTATCGCGATGTCGATATGACTAATAATATTTATTATAGCTCAAGTAGCCTATACAGAACAAAAAATGTATCACTTTTAGAAATGAAAAAGTGTTTAGAAGTAATTGGCATTGATAGAAGATAATTGGCATTAATTCACGTACTTGCCTAGCCAATTACAAATGTAAACAATCGCTTCTAATTATATTTTAACGTGAATTATGATAGAAACATTTTTATAGGGATATCATTACGGAAGTAGCTATATGTGTATGTCTTAGAAGGTTGAAATAATTGTTCTACACTTTTGCATCAAGTGCGACGCTCCATTCACGGGTCACCGCACAATAATCTGAACAGGTGTCACAAATTACGTTAGCAACGCAATGAAGCGTTTCACGAACGCATTACATAGATACTATTGTTTCTATCACGATTATAATTGTACTATTAATTTTTCATTTAGATGGGAGCAATTGTATGGGGGACTATGGAGACCACGTGACGAAATGCTTCTAACCTTTCCGAATCTGCTTCGTAGTCTCACGTAGCGCTTTACTATAGTACATTTCATCATTCATCCATTCATCCCACTGTATTCATTTATTATTTTTCTAGTTAGTGACATATAGAGGTAATTATGAGATTGCCCAGCTTGTCCCTGTTCAAGTATGGAATTTTCTAATTTCCGATACAGTGTTTTTCAAAAATCCTTAGTTTAAAATTATTGAAAATATGTAAAAGATTTATGAAGCGATATACAAAATGCCTTACAAACGTTTACTTTTATTTGAAAAACGCTGTTTCTCTCCTCGAATAACATAGCTATTTCTCGCGTTATGTTTTGAATCCCTTTACTATTACTTCACTATCTGTTTTTTTTTTATTACTTCCTATTTAATTTATATCTTGTCCTCCCGCGCTTTTATTAAAGATACAAATAAAAAAAAGATGTATTAAGCGGTGCACCAGATGATGATCTGCTTGTTTTTCAATTTTCAGTGAAGCACACAGAAGCGAAGATTAGGGTAGTTTAATTTGGTACGAATTTATATTGACCAATTTTCTTTAAATCTTTAATTAAACGGCTTGTAACTCGACTAACCATCGGACTTACGCTTAAATGACACAGCTGTTTCATGCTCTTAATTATTTAACAAGACGAAGTATTTATGCTTTCGCAATTGATACGCTTAAGTTGTGCTGATAATTTACCACGTTCTCGCTTATTGTCAAATAGCATTGCTAAGCACATTAACAAACGGTGTCCGCATTATCTTATCACATTAATGCTCGTTTCTATTAATATAGATTAAACTTTAATCTCGGTTTAACTTATTCTTCATATTTTTCTAATTCTTAGAACTAGAAAAAGATGAAAAGTTAATTGAGCCAAATTTAAAATTAAACTATATTGGTAGAAACGAGAAATTAAATCAATTTAATTTCCAAACGAAATTGCAGTCTAATTATCTAAATTATAATCAAAATCCATATCCTCCCTTTTCTTTCTTTTATAGCATACATTATTACAAAAATTATTTCACTGAGAGAAAGTTTTTGGTTTGATTGCAATTACTGCTCCATAATTATAGTTATTACTGCTATAATGTTAGTAGTAATAACTATATATATAGTTCTATTAACAAATATATATATAATTAGCATCGAAACTGATTATAAATTATAATTATTATAACCATAAAATGGTTGCAATTACTATATTTTAATTATAATTTATAGTCATGTTTTGGATCAACTATTTTTTCTCAGTGTTCGCAGAGACCGATGCATATACTCTTGTACATTTTTATCACAACTCCGAAATTCTTACAAAAATTACAGAAATTATAATAGTTATGAAATCCTTGTTTTATTCTGGATTGTTCTGTCGAGTCTTAAAAATTCAGTCCCGCAATTTAAGCAAACGATTTAGATTATCATTGATTTTAATCGATTCATTTATCTGGCTAGTTTGTCGTGTGGAACCTATGGAACGAACTAAGCTTGTAACGATCGCTGGTGGTCCTGCAACTTTCACCGTTCTTCCCGCAGATGACTTAAAAAATAGAGCGTAGCGCTGTTGCAGCGCAGTGAGTAGCTTTCTTGTAAAAAATGAGCTCGTCTTTCCCCATAACTTGTGATAACTTATTTCTAATATTTCGATTGACCTTTTGCACTCTAAAGCTAATATTTTATTTATTATACGACAAATTTTTCAAGTGTGGTAATTGGCTACAAAATGGAGAATTTTTGGAAATTCGAGAACTTCTTTATTCCATAGTCAGTTAACGCATTGAACAATTTATCGCTTTAATATAATCTTAACGTAAGAAATCTTGTGGAATTATATTATTTCCTGAGAAATCTCGATTCTCCAACAGAGATATAAAGTATCATTTCATATATATATATATTTTTTAATGAGTGCAAAGGAATGGATCAGTTTGACTAATTCTTAGTTATCATGACAATCCTAAATCTTACCGATTCTTGTTATTTAAATGAACGTTAGAAACAAGAATTGTTTGCAGTTTTTTGTTTTATATGCATTATGATCTAAAACTTTTCTGAAAACGCGTGACAATAATTACTTCCCAAGTCTAATCACTAAGCGAATGCAATGATTTATTCCCTACATTCCCTGAAATAGGATCACGCGATTCAAAGACCGAATACATAACTAACATTGCATCCCTCGCGCAAATCCGACCCGCACGATTTCATTTTGCATTGTCGGCATCATTTCCCTTTGCTCTCCTTTCCCGTTCAACTTTCTTTTTAAGTTCGACTTTTTTTTACTTTTAACACTTCAACATACCATCACAGTACATACGACACGTGGATGATGAGGATCTAGGTTTCATTGTTCGAACCCGGCGTACCTTGACGAGATTGCATTTTGCATAGACAGAATCGATGGGCCGCCAGTTCCCCCGTGTTCTATATGTCATATACGCCAGTCCCCTTTATTTATTTGATGCATATGTAGGTGTTCAGGCGTGTCATGACGCATTCGCGTCCCTTTTATTGCAAACGGTGTCGATATCATGTTGCAGTGGTCTACTCGACTCGCAAGATTGAAATGAAAAGCTCATGTCAATTCTCGATATTTCAAACGACATCGTTGACGTGCATTTTTCATTTTTAGAAAGTTTCTACGGTTGAGTAGTACTTTTGAGTGTCAGTGCCATTTAAAATTAATTATAGATAATTGATGTTCTGTTTACCTGAACTTCTTGCATAGTTCGTCTTTTTCCTTCTTTCTCTTCAACACACAGAGGAAAGAAAGAGAGATGAACTGTGCAAGCAATTCAACTAAAAAGAACAGACCTCATATCTTGCCGGTCGAGTGCCCCGAGATCTCTTTTATCGTAAACGTTTGCTATCCGTACTGAAAAAAGTCTGGTAATAGCTATCAATATTGAGTAAAATAATGTCCGATTAATATAATTAAAAATACTTTTACTGTCTTAAATATTTAATAGGTATTATCAAACGATTGATCATATTATTATGTTTGGTAATACTTACTAAATAATTAGAAAACTAAAATTATTTGATTATATTAATCGAAAATTTGATTAGCATTAATTCACTCAAGATTTGATGCTATTACCAAACTTTTTCTTTCAGTGCGTGACTCTGCGAATCCAAGCTGGCGATATATGTTTTAATACTCACGACACCTATTCTTTCCCAACAGTACGGAAAGATCTAACGCTGCGGCTACAGTTCCGATTCTTTAACATGAACCACAGGAAACCTGCCTTGATTCAATGAAAGGTAGCTACCCATTGTGTGGTAGACCGTCAGCCGAATGAACCGCACTTCCTTTCTCCTTACGGGGAAGGTTTAACCAACGCCAATGCTATTTTTGCAGCTTCACTAACACAGCTTTTTAGACAAGTCGCGCCGCGAGAAAAGCATACAATCGCTCAAACACGGTCGCGAACGGAATACTCGTCGGATCGTTCAAGGAACAAAGCACGAACAGAGCGATGCATGGTTTTGCATTTGCGTCATTCCGTCTTATACATTCTTGGAGACGGATTCGTCGGATTCGATCTCGACGTCTTATTTTCGGAAGTCACGCGATCGCGGATATAAATGCAAATAGCAACGTCTTATTCTTTCGGAAGTAAAATAAAATCAATATAATAAATCGTATTCCGCACGGAGAAAAATGGTTGAGTAATTTTTATCTTATAAGGCTATATAGTAAAAATATTCTGGCTATTTTTACCGAACTTATGACCTACTTTACTTGCCTGAAAGTAAGAGATGTAAGATAAAAAGTATATTTATACGATTACAGTAGATCCGTGATTATTATCTTACAGATAGTAAATTGTATTATTCTTAAGATAAGCGCGAAAAGCTTTCAAGATTTTATTCACTTGTATTTTTTACCGCGCAGTAAAGTAAATTTTGTCAACGCTAAGGCAAAAAATACTCATCGATAAAATAAATTCTAATGAGATGTGTTATAATTTATAGATTTATTGTACTTTACGAAACGTAAAAAGTATCTTACAGTATAGCTCTATGCAACGCTCATTTATCAGAAAAGTAAAGTAAATTTTACATAAATACGTGTCTGTCCTTATAATGAATTTGCCAATTCCATAAAATTTACTAAAATTGTACATGGAAAAAAATATTTGGTTGGATTAATTGGAATTCTGCTGGAAAAAATAAACGATTCAGAATTCTGGTTAAGTCTACTAGATTTCTGGTTAAAAATACTAGAATTCTAGTAGATTTAATCAACACGCAAAAAATATTTTGTTGCTCCAGAATTATCTCTATTTTTGGTATTTAATAGAAAATTATATATCATACGCATAGAATTTATAGCACAAATCTAAATTCTATCTTTGTCATCTATATGATTAGATGCAATATATACACTGAAAAAAATTTCTGGTTGAAAATGGACGAATCAGAAATTTCTCTCTCTCTCTCTCTCTCTCTCTCTCTGGTTAAATTTATTAGAATTCTAGTTGAGAAAACCGGAATTCTGGTACGGAATTCTTGATACTATATTTCTGGTAAAATCTACTAGAATTCTTATTTTTACCAGAATAATTATATTAATCAGAATTCTAGTTATCTTAACTAGAATTCTAATAGGCATAACCAGAAAATTCTGATTCGTCTATTTCCCACCAGAATTACTGTTTAATCCAACCAGATAATTTTTCTCAGTGTATCCAATATCGCAGTAGTTACTAGAAATTTATCTAGTTTAGCTAATTTTGCGTACTTAGATAATTTTCGCTATAACTGTAAGATCACTTTTTTGAGTGAAAGGAATTCTGAATTGGTTATCTCATCTAGAATTCTAGTAGATTTAATCAGAAATCTAATAGAGAGATTTAACCAGAATTCTGGGATCGTTCTTTTTCCACTAGAATCCCAGTTAATTCAACCAAACATTTTTCTCCGTGTAGCACGTATTACTTTACATTTTTCTCCGTAATCATTTCTCCGTAATAATATCGAATCACATAACTTTCGCTTATCGAATTGCGACGTAGATTGCGTGACTTTTCATGCATCGTGCGGTTTGATTCACGCGCAGCATCATTATTACTAGCTGCACCTGCCTCGACAAGCGATGCAATGAGGTTTAGACGCATCCTATCAAACCCGATGAAGTCGTGACGCGTTAATTTCCACGGGAGCCGAGGTTCCTAGGAGCTTTATTCGCCTCGCGTGACGTCCTGTCGGCATTAACCCGTCAGCTGGAAGACAGTTTAACACACGCCGACGTTGGCGCAACCGAAGCTGACTGACGTCTTATACCGAGTGAATCGCATCCGAGCTATTCGCGGGGATCTTTTTTGGCTCGAGTACCGTTCAATTATACACGCTTATCCTTCAGAGAGGCCGACTAACGAGTCTAATCAAGCCTTTCCTGTAAAAAGGATGAATAATCCTCTTTTTCTTTCCTTTCGAAATAATTTGTATCTAATAACACGTGAAAAAAAGCTAGCTTTGTGAAAACATATCGGCAAACTTTTTAATGTTTTAATTTTTGTAATTCAAAAAATTTTATGCAATTTAATCGATTCTTGAATATTTTTCTTTTATTCGCGTTAAAAATCCCGAGATTTGCAAATTCCGAGATACCGAAATACGACATTAATTATCATTAATTCGTGGAATCGTCGGAGTCTTACTTTTAAGTTCATTCTCAGAATTTTTTTCTTTCATTAATTGAGTCTGACTTTAGAATTTTACCAGCTCTGTGCGAGTTTGAGTTGCGTGTATTATCGTGTTTTACCTCGCACGACATTTTATGAGGTGCTAATGCAGATCGGCGCCGGGTGTCATAACGATGACAAAACGACGCGTAGTGTACGGTGGCGTTATTTTTAAAATGCAAATCGTAGGGACTGCGAGAGAGAACAATCCACTCTTTCATCGGGGATTAACGACGCGAGCCGCGTTAATGAGCCCGCGAATGTTCGCACACCCGGCGCAAAATTGCTAATATTTATTCGCGGATTACGCGGTCTTTTAAAATAATATTCCGCACGGTACTCCCGTGAAATGTTAATTGTCGATGGGAACGGGTTGCGTTATGCACGGAATTTATACGGTGACGAAAAGATCTCACTCGTAAATCGCACCTTTAGAGATCGCATCCGAAACTAGAATAAACTGTAAATAACGGCGCGGCTATTACACGCTGAGGTTTATGGGTTTTACGGGCTTTTAATTAAGGTAGTGATCGCTTTACGTTACTTTAGTGTTTTACAAATTCATGCGGATAAAAAGAATTTACATTTACATTTGTTTGGTATCATTATCAATATCGCTTTTGTTTTGTGCTAGAATCAAATAATTTTCCGATCGCCGCGCCGTGCGGATTATCGGGGAGGATTTAACTGCGCGGAACAATTACAATAATTTTCGATTTAAACCCGCTCGCTTATCGACCATTTAGAAATTTGCAGTAAAAGAACGTCCGCGGATATTCAGATTATATTCGCGCGATTTGTCTTTTACTTTGCGAACAAAATTTTAACGTTGACAGTGGAAATACGGTTTTGCTGAAATATCTAAAATTTAGCTAGATATA